CTTGCCTTTTCCAACTATATATCTATCTTCAATCAAAACACATTGCAACAGATCCAATGTGGAAATAACTGTGAGATTATAGCTGCCTTCTATTAAGCCAGACATTAAAAAATTTGCAAAAATGTAAAACAATCCCATTCTTATGATTTTTTCAGAAAATTATTTTTCATAAAACATCATTTATATTAATATGTGAGTTATTGTTCCAAAATGAATTAATAGCTAAATATAAGAATTTGTGTTTTAATTTCTAATATGGTAAATATCAAAGTTCTTTGGGATTTACAATTTTTAAATGTATAAAGGTCCTGAGACCTATGTTCTCTTTGCCTAGAATTCTTCCCTTTTTTCTCAGGAGAAATTCTACACATAATTATGCAGTTAGTATTTACAACTTTATTTAAAAAAACATTTACTGAGCATCTTATCAAGAACCTGGCTCTTTGCTTGTTGCTGGGGACATGGTCCCAAACCCGTATGGAGATCACAGTCTGTTGGGGAAGACATATTAAACAGACAATTGCAACAAAGTATGATAAATGTTACCAGTAATAGCATATAAATGTTGTGGGGGGTACAGGTTATTGTCAGAGTCTTGCAAAGAGCCACTTGCCCACTCACCCAGAACATATGACTGGTTAGTTTGATTGGATTGTACCTCCTATATCTGATCCTTTATAGTCTGACAGGGAAAGTGGCTGAGGTTAGCAGAAAATGGGAACTGTCGCTTGCTGCTGTGGGAAGAAAGAAGGATGCTACAAATGTATTGAGTGTCATCTTTGTGCTAGGTCCTATGCTAGGTGTTTTAACAAATGTGGTTTTACTTAATTCTCACAAAAACCCTATGCAACAGATTATCATCCTTATTTTGCAGATGAGAAATTGGAGGCTCAGAGAAGTTAAACAGCTTGTCCAATATCAGATGGTTTGTGAAGATGGGATTTTTGACATATGTGTTTTGACTCTAAGTCCAGGGCTCTTTAATTGCAGTAAGAATGTGTTGCTAAAGGGATGGACCTTCTAAGGTATTTCCAGATGTCTGTGGGAAACTTTGCCAAACTGGAATGTTTAGGAGAAGGTAGAAAAGGTCTCAGGAAGGACAGGGATACAGCTTAGGAAATGCTTGGTTGAAGGAGTTATTTGTGAATTTTGGCTGACATGGTTTCTCTGAATAGGATTCTATGGCCGTATGGGAATCAAGCTTTTGTATTCCCTATCTCTAAATCCCTTTAATCCTCTCTATGCCAGATGATACCAGCTGCAAAGGTCACCTGTCAGTCTAATCAGGTTACAAACCAGAGCCTGGTGTTTGAAACCCAAACTTCTTGGATCTGCTGTAAGCTTTTGGGAAAGGTTAGGCTGGCTTAGGCTGGCTGACCTCAGGCCAACCAGCCTAAAGGCCCCCAGTCACTAGAGCTTGATAAACTATTTCCATTATTTTAAAAAGCCTACTGGAAGTTATACTTTACTTAGGATAAGCCTGTGTACAGATGCAGGCTAATGAGAAGACTGGATTTCTTTCTGTTGGGTCAGAAAACTATCAGTGAGGCCGGGCACGGTGGCTCACGCCTGTAATCCTAGCACTCTGGGAGACTGAGGCGGGTGGATTGCTTGAGGTCAGGAGTTCGAAACCAGCCTGAGCAAGAGCAAGACCCCATCTCTACTATAAATAGAAAGAAATTAATTGGCCAACTAATATGTATAGAAAAAATTAGCTAGGCATGGTGGCGCATGCCTGTAGTCCCAGCTGCTCGGGAGGCTGAGGCAGAAGGATTGCTTGAGCCCAGGAATTTGAGGTTGCTGTGAGCTAGGCTGATGCCACAGCACTCACTCTAGCCTGGGCAACAAAGCGAGACTCTGTCTCGAAAAAAGAAAGCTATCAGTGCAATGTGATTTAGGTGTGCCACCTATTATTTTCTAGAGCAGGATTCAGCAAACTATGGCCCATGGGCCAAGTCCAGCTCACAACTTGTTTTTGTAAATGAAGTTTTATTAGAATACAGTCAAGCATGTTTTGTCTATGAATGCTTTTGTGCTATAATGGCAGAGTTAAGTAATACAACAGAGACTATATGGCCTGCAAATCCTAAATTGTTTAATCTGGCCCTCTACAGAAAAAGTTTGCTGACCTATAATCTTGCTTCTCTGTATCATGGCACTTAGCACATAGTGTTTTAATTGCCTCTCTCACTTTTGTAACTGAGCTCCTGGAGAGCAAAGAAGAGATATGATTCGTATTTTTATGCCCTATGCTGATTATAGGGCCTGACATATCAAGAGCACTTAATAAATGTTATTTAAATGGGTATATCATATGTTAATCAAAAAGCTCTTATATATGCTTTCTTAATTTTATTTTCGGGTGGGGGGAGGGAGGGAGGGACAGAATCTCGCTTTGACACCCAGGCTAGAGTACATCACCATAGCTCACAGCAACCTCAAACTCCTGGGCTCAAACAATCCTTCTGCCTCAACCTCCCAGTAGCTGGGACTACAGGCGTGAACCACCATGCTGGGCTAATTTTTCAATTTTTATAGAGACAGGGTCTCACTCTTGCTCAGGCTGGTCTGGAACTCCTGACCTCAAGTGATCCTCCCACCTCAGCCTCCTAGAGTGCTGGGATTATGCTGTGCCTGGCCTGCTTTTTTAATTTTAACTTTTTTGTGGTAGAGATAGAGTCTCACTGTGTTGCCCAGGCTGGTCTCAAACTTCTGGCCTCAAGTGATCCTCCCACCTCAGCCTCCCAAAGTGCTGGGATTACACACATGAACCATTTTGTCCAGCCTCATATATACTTTTGAGTAGTACCAAAATAGGGCGTAAGAGGAGGAAAAAGTTATGTTGATTATGCTAATCTCAGTGCTATATGCTTCATCTATGAAGTAGTCATTATTGCAATTTGAGGGGAACAGTGGTAAATAGTTCTTCTGGAAATGAGTTCCATGAATGAAACAATTATGCTAGGATATCTTTTTGGTGAGGAAGTTGAGAAACAATGCCTTACTCTGTGACTGTTTTCTCCTCTCCCTTAGTACGTGCCATCTTTCCATCTTTCCCCATCTAACTTGGCAGGACAAATGGAGAGGAACATAAAACCTTAGATATATTTCTTTTGTATGCATACTGTTTGTTTTACTGATTTCTGTTTTTTTTTTTTTTTAATAAACCCATTGCTTCTGTGTGCTTCTTAATAGTATTATCATCTGTGGCTTCCAAAAGATCAAACCAACTCAAAATTATCTGGTTACCTTAGCAAGAAGGTAATAAGGTGAAGTGTTGGCCTGGGAATCATCAGATCTGGGCTTTGCTGTAGCTTTTCATCTGCCTTTGTTGTTAGGCACATCATGTAACATCTGTGAGCGTCAGTATTCAACCTACCTTTAATGTATCACATCTTGGACGCTTAAAAATTTTAAATTTATTCCCCTCCTTCATTTTGAAAAGGATTGGGTGACGTGTCCTGTCCAGTCACTGTCTCTGGCATGCAGATAAATAAATGATTTAATGGAGTAGGGTGTTTTAGGTCTTTGATCAGTGCCTTCTGAAAGGTGTCACAGTCATAGCCACTCTACTGTGTCTTTGCTTTCTCTCCTATGATGGCTTCTTCTCTTACCTAGGAAGCCAAGGTCCTTCTTCTGTCTTCTTTGGGGTGATTGAAAGAGTATTTTGCCTAGGAAATAGTTGTCAAGATCTGCATCAAAAGGGAAGAGGAATTTTGGCATCTAGGAATTGGAAGAAATGCTAGAAACTCTAGAAAAATGCCTTTTTTGAATTGTGACCTTGCAGCCTAGAGAAGATAAATGATTTCCCTAGAGTCACATGGTAGAGCTAAGCCTAGATTCCAGGCTCTTTCTGCTGTGTGCATAAGTCAGGCTAGGTGTGTTCCAGGTTTGTAAGAGAGGATTAGGTGTCATGGAAAGAGCTAAGGTGGCTTAGACTCTTATGCTGGTTTTACTGCTGTAAGGCCCCGTGATGGTAGGCAGAGGAAACTGCACCCCAGACTTCTTAAGGTGTTGTATCAGATGAGCTCAGGACTTTCAGATATCTAATAGATATTTACTGGCTATAACTGTCTATGGCAAGACATAATATGTGAGAGGTTTCCTCAGTCAGCCTGTGGCTGACCTTATATATACCAGTAGTGGCAAAGTGAACAAAAAAGACAATTATACATTATGCTGGCACTGGGACTAATTGGCTGTTGTCTTGTTTCCAGAAAGATTGTATTAATTTACATTTGTTTATTTGACTGATTAAAAATGATGATTCATTTGAGTATGTATTTCTTTTCTTTTCTTTTTTTTTTTTTTTTGAGACAGTCTCACTCTGTTGCCCAGGCTAGAGTGAGTGCCGTGGCGTCAGCCTAGCTCACAGCAACCTCAAACTCCTGGGCTCAAGCAATCCTCCTGCCTCAGCCTCCCAAGTAGCTGGGACTACAGGCATGTGCTACCATGCCCGGCTAATTTTTTCTATATATATATTAGTTGGCCAATTCATTTCTTTCTATTTATAGTAGAGATGGGGTCTCGCTCTTGCTCAGGCTGGTTTTGAACTCCTGACCTTGAGCAATCCGCCCGCCTTGGCCTCCCAGAGTGCTAGGATTACAGGCGTGAGCCACCGCGCTCGGCCTTGAGTATGTATTTCTTTGATTACTATTGAGTCTAAACTTTTTTCCTCTGTTTATTCGCTATTTGTATTTTTCTCTCATTTGTGAGTTGCCTATATATGTTCTTTTCTAGATCTCAGTGCATTCCTAGTCCTGTACTAGACTTCCCTGCCAGGGAACTATTAGGATGATAAAGCATTGTCTCTGTATGGGAGAGCTCAGCATATTCTTGGGAAGACAGTTTAAAGCCGGATGAAACATTTCCCTCACTCTACGTGTAGTTGGTTCAGTACCTACATGAGGAATCACAGCCTAGAATCTGAGGGCTGTGATAGGTGGGTGTAAGAGGCTGGGTGGTAGTTCTAAGTAATGTCTCTTGCTTTTCTTATACAGAGTTTTGCCGGATTGACAAGCCACTGTGTCACAGTGAGGATGAGAAGCTCAGCTTTGAGGCAGTCCGCAACATCCACAAGCTGATGGATGATGATGCCAATGGTGATGTGGATGTGGAAGAAAGTGATGAGGTGAGCTCTCTCATCCTGCCGTGATTCTACTTTCTTCCTATATCATAGTCCCTGTAAGCTGCCTAGACACACTGTTAACTGGGGAGAAATATTCTCTGCTGGAGGCCAGGTGCAGTGGCTCATGCCTGTAGTCCTAGCACTCTGAGAGGCTGAGGCAGGAGGATCACTTGAGCTTAGGACTTCAAGATCAACCTGAGCAAGAGCGAGACCCTGTCTCTACTAAAAATAGAAAAAGTAGCCAGGCACAGTGGAGGGCACCTGTAGTCCCAGCTACTTGGGAGGCTGAGGCAGGAGGATTGCTTGAGCCTAGGAGTTTGGGGTGGCAGTGAGCTATGATGACCCCATTGCACTCTAGCCAGGGTGACAGGGTGAGACTATCTCAAAAAAAACCAAAAAATGGGCCAGGCCTGGTAGCTCATGCCTGTAATCCTAGCACTCTGGGAGGCCGAGGGGGGTGGATCCCTCAAGGTCAGGAGTTTGAATCCAGCCTGAGCAAGACCCCGCCTCTACTAAAAATAGAAAGAAACTAATTGACCAACTGAAAATATATATACAAAAAATTAGCCAGGCATGGTGGCATATGCCTGTAGTCCCAGCTACTCGGGAGGCTGAGGCATTAGGATTGCTTGAGCCCAGGAGATTGAGGTTGCTGTGAGCTAGGCTGACGCCAGGGCACTCACTCTAGCCTGGGCAACAAAGTGAGACTCTGTCTCAAAAAAAAAAAAGTCTACTGGCTTGTTCTCTAGGAATTCATCCCCCCCAGGGGAGGTGGCTGTCAGCAGAGCAGCCTCAAGGAGCCAGCCTGTCAGAGTGCAGGCTTTATGCCTGTGTCTGGGCCTGGGCTGGTTCCCACTTGCCTACCAGCTAGTAGTATAACTCTGACAGAGCTGTGTTGTTTGCGAGGGAGAGGAAATCCCTGAGGTGGTTTTCTATGCTTTCCCTGGATCTTTATTGCAATCCTGTTGTAGATGGAGGGCATTAATCTGTACTCAGCCCTGTCTTGGCATATAGGAGGGAAGACAAGACAGTCAGATCCTGCCCTCTGGGAGGTTATACTCTAATTGGGAGGAAGAAAAAAAATCTTCCTAGAATGAACATTCTGATTTCCAGGCTTCAGTTTTTGGGTGCCAGTGGAGTGGTCCAGATAGTAAGAACTAGGGGAGTCTCTAAATGGAAAAAAGCTCTGTTACTATTTCATCTTTTGCCATTACTACTATAGCTGCAACTCAACAGAGCCCAGAGTACAAGGTCATCATGTGTGAACAGCTGTAAAAGCTTCTTGATTTCAAGCTCAACATGAACCAGCAGTTTGATGAAGCTACTAAGTTATGCCAAATCTTCAATAGTGATATAGTTACATCATGAAAGAGGAGATAAGCCTAGTATCCCCTCCCTGCTAGCCAACCTTGAGTTATGAGTTCAGTTTTGGATCTCACATTGTCAGAAAGATTTGGAGCAGTGAGGATCTATATAGAAAGGAGTGACATGAGTGATGAGGAGTATGGAAAATATGAAATGAAGAGCATTCAACACAAGGCAGTAATATTTATTAAGTGTCAATTATGTATGTGCCGTGCACTGTGTTAGATACGGAAATGGGGCAGTAAGTAACACAGATGCAGTCTGTCCTCCCATAACTTACAGTCTAATGAAGAAACGCTAGCCTGGAGAAGAGGAGACTCAGGTTATATAATTTTCATCTTCAAATACGTAAGAAGTGGAGAAATCAGACTTAAATAATGATGATAGTAACAATGAAAAACACAGTACTAGCTGTCATTTATTGAACTTTTACTCTGTGTCAGACACAGTGTTAAGCTCTTTGCATAGTTGCTTTAAAAGACTTTAACAGCCTTGTAAAGTTCGTATTATTACCAGGGACTGGAGCCTTGGAAAGGTTAAGGATTTTGTTCAAAGACACACTGGATATGAGCTCAGATCTGATTTCAAAGCCCAGGCTCTTAAGTACTGCTGTGTTGTTTTCCTTATTCTAAGGGCAGAACCAGGGCCAATGTGGGAAAAGTAAAAAATAGGCATATTCTTCTAGAATAAAGAATTGACCAAGAGTCAGACCCATCTTGTCATAGGCTTCCTTGGTAGATAAGTGAACTCTCTATCACTGAAGATGAGCAAGTAGAGTACAGAACTCCACTGATTGCTCAGCAGACGGGATTCTTCTGTTAGGATGAGCCAGATAATTGTCAAGGAATTTAAAGAAGGAGAAAAATAGACTTCCTAGAGGAAAAGTAGAATTGAATAGTTTGGAAGGGGGGTAGGGCTATCTCAGTAGTGGAGAACCAGCATGAGCAAAGCTGTACAGGTAGTAAGAAGCGTGGTGGGTTGGTTTGGTTCAACAGAGGGACTGTGGTGGAAAACCACAGAACAAAATGTTGGAAAGGAAAGTGGGGCCGAGGTAACAAGGCTGAGATATGTGTGTACTTGTTGAACTAGGCGATTATAGGTTCTTAAGCAAGGACAACAACCATGATGAAAGTATCTGAAATTTTGTTCACATCTAGAAGTATGACTGGCTTTCGAAGGACCAAAATTTTATTTGTCTATGCTGAGAATAGAGGCACATTCCTGATGGTGAATCAGGTCTACAGGTGTCCTGATAACTGTCCTAGGGCTTGGCCACAAAACTGGGGAATGGATGGAGAAGAATGATATAATCCCAGATCTACAAATTCCTGGATATCTTTGTTATCAGCTCCTCCTCTTTTTTTTTTTTTTCACATTCTCCTGAATTGCTTTGTTAATGAGTGGAGGAATAAAATGTTCTTTTTAGAGGAATGTTACCACAACAAAAAGCTCATCAGCACAAACTGTTCCAAAATAATACAAAAGCTGTCACCCTACTCTTCTTTGCACCAATGGTGAGCTGTTCTTTTTCAGCATAGCTTTTGCCTTGCCTTGATTTCCACTGCTCTCCCTGCATTCCCAGGCCTTTGGTGGTTAGAGAGGACTGATAGTCTAGGTGTTCATGATTAATCACATGCTACTGTCCTTGAGAGAGAAAGTAGCAAAATGAATGTGCTTAAGTCAGTGTAAACATACATGCGGCAGCCTTGGAGTTCAGGATCTAGCTAGAAAGTTGAGTAGATAGCTCAGGGATTAGAATATTGGGTAATGGATAGTGAGGTACCAGGGATGAAACCCTGGTTGTATTGGCCATCAAGGACTTGAGTCTTTTATGACACGTCTAAAAACATTGCTGATTACTCAAGAACCTTAGTAGATGTCTGAATGGGGCTCAGTTAAGGCCTTTTATTTAGCTTCATATTGGTAAATTTTTCACATAACTGAACTGAACCCCAGTGCTAGATCTTTTAAAATTTTTGCCATTTTTGAAGTAAGTCTTCTTACAGATTATTGTGACAAGTGTTAGCTTTCTTTGTATGAATCAAAGCATGTCTTCAGGGCCTCTTGCACTATTACCCAGTACCTAGATTCCTATATGCATTGTGGTTGCTTCTTATAGTTTTCCTGTCTCTTCCTTGATTCGTTCTCATTTCTAATTACTGTGAGCTGTTAAATTAGACTTATGGTAAACTGAGACTTAGTAGGTATGTTATAGAAAAATATATGAACATTTGTGTGTGTGGCAACTTGTCTGGTTGCTCAAGAGCCATCTTTGCTTGCTTTTGTTATGGATGGCAGAGGCTATGTATGTATCATGGACCCTTCAGATGAGCAATATGGCACAATTGTTGATGGTGCCCTGCCTGCAAAACTGGCAGAGAGTTCCCATATTAGGCTGGCAGTATGAGACTTTAGGACCTGTGTTCTATTCAAACCTCTGGTGGGGATATTGCCCATGGGCAAAGGATTTGATGTGGTGGATGGTTCTGTCAGGTTGTCCTAACTATCTGAGGTGGACAAACAAGGGCCTGCCTAAAACCACTGTCCCCTGACTGGACTAGACATTTTGAGAACAGTGTTATTTTCTTTTTTTGAGCCTACATGGAAAATCAGGGCATTCATTCAGCCATTAAACAAATTCTTACTGAATACTTATGTGCTAGGCACCTTCGAGGGCTAGAGATTCCACAGTAAACAAAATGGATAAGATCCCTGCTTTTACAGAGCTTGCGTTCTAGTGATCTGTATGTCACAGGCGATTAAGTGATAAGAACATTTTGAAATTAGACAGAACTGTGATCAGATTATAGTAGTTCAGTGACTTCTCCTTTGGTTTTTCTCAGGGCAAAATGGTGGTTAATGATTCCTACCCTTGCAGGGTTGTAGTTAGAATGAAGTGAGAAAAGTAGTTAAAAGTTCTCAGCACAAATAGAGAACTGTTAACATTCTCCAATAGAAACCAAGCAACTTGATAAAAATGGGAAAAGTTTTGAACAGAGACTTCACCAAAGTAGATATATAGATGGCAAATAAGCATATGAAAAGATGTTAAATATTATTAACTGTTAGGGAAATACAAATTAAAACCACAATGAGGTACTACCATATACCTTATTAGAATAGCTAAAATTAAAAATGAACAATATAGGCTGGGCGCGGTGACTCACGCCTGTAATCCTAGCATTCTGGGAGGCCGAGGCGGGAGGATCACTCAAGGTCAGGATGTTCAAAACCAGCCTTAGCAAGAGTGAGACTCTGTCTCTACTAAAAATAGAAAATTAATTGGCCAACTAAAAATATATAGAAAAAATTAGCTGGGCATGGTGACGCATGCCTGTAATCCCAACTACTCGGGAGGCTAAGACAGAAGGATTGCATGAGCCCAGGAGTTTGAGGTTGCTGTGAGCTAGGCTGATGCCACGGCACTCTAGCCAGGGTAACAGAGTGAGACTGTGTCTCAAAAAAAAAAAAATAAAAAAATAAAAAAAATAGAACAATATAAAGTGCTGAGCAAGAGGAAAAGACACTAGAACTCTTGCTGATGGAAATGCATTATAATACAGCAGTCTAAAAACGTTTAGCAGTTTCTTTTTTTTTCTGGTTATACATATGTGGGGTCTGCCCTTTCTTCTTCTTTT